ATTGTGACAGTCTTCAAGAAAGGAGACAAGTTCGACTGTGGAAACTACGGAGGGATCGCATTGATGTACACCACAGGAAAGACCATTGTGAGAATCCCCCTGAACCATCTCCTTCCACTTGCTGAAGAGCTCCTCCCAGAATCTTAGTACAGGTTTAGGGCATCAAGAGGCACAACTGACATGATTTTCACAACTCACCAGCTGCAGGAGAAATGCTGGGAACAACATAAGCCTCTCTAAATGGCCTTCTTTGACCTCATGAAAGCTTTCAACTGTCTACCAAGAAGTGTTGTGGAAGATCTTTCTGAAGTACGGATGCCCACTGAAATTCATCACCATTCACCATCTGCTCCAAGACAGTGCGTGAGTGCTGGTTCTCAGTAATGGATCTATCACAGATTCCTTTGAGGTTAAAACTATAGAGTTAGGCAAGGCTGCGTCATTGCTCCAACACTCTTCTCAATATTCTTTGTTGCAGTGCTACATCTGACTACAGCGAAAGCTGTGTTATCCGGCACTTTATCAACCGGAAAGCTCCACTAACTGGCATTCAAGGGACACAGCAAAAGTGAAACCGGAAGTCCGACTTCCGGTTTCGCCGCTGCGAGCCGAGTTCTTCTCCTTCACTTCTTCGGCCCACGGCCCAGAACAAAGCAGTCTGTGCAGGGTGCCCCTTCCCTGTCCCCCGGCATACTAACACCAGGGAGTACACCAGACAGTGCACATTTGATTAACCAGCATATTTGATTAACAAGCATCCCCCATTTCCGGGGGATGCTGAATAACAGAGCTTTTGCTGTACCAACAAATTTCCAGCCAGAGTGGAGCTAAACTACCAAGTGGATGATATCCTGTTTAACCTCAGCCAACTCTGAGCCAAAACTGACATCACCCTGATGTCAATCATTGAGCTCCAGTACACTGATGATGCTATAGTGTGTGCTTACTTGGAAACAGACCTTCGGGCAATCGTTGACATCTTTACTGAGGCACACAAGAAAATGGTGATTGATGCTTAACATTCAGATAACTAAGGTCCTCCACCAACAAGTTCCTGATGAATAGTTCCCAGCTCTGGTAATCCAGGTCCACGGTGCAACTCTGGAGAACACTGAGCATTTCTCGTACCTTGGAAGCCAGGAGGCTCCTGCAGGAGGCTGTCATTGACAATGAAATCCAACATTGCCTCAAATGTGCAAGTGAAGAAACTGGCCCTAAGATCACAACAACAGATCCGAAACCAAGCTCAGGCAGTTGTGATCCCCACCTTACTGCATGGAGCTGAGACATAGATAATGTACAGGAGACCTCTAAAGTTGTTGGAGAAGTACCATCAACTCTGCCTGAGGAAGATCCTCCAAATCCAGTGGAAGAAAGACACACAATGTTAGTGTCCTCCTGCAAGCAAACAGCACAAGTATTGGGGTGATGGTCATCCGACATCAGCTTTGTTGGACTGGCTATGTCATCCAGATGTCCGACTCCAGATTCCCAAAACAAGTATTATTCTCCCAGCTCAGCCACGGTGTATACTCAAGGGGAGGGCAGAGAAAGCACTTCAGGGATGTCCTTAAGACCGACTGAAAAAAATGCATCATCAATGTCAAGTCATGGGAGACTGTCACCTAGGACCACCCCAAATGGAGGAAGAGTCTGTTGCAAGGCTCTCAGTACTTTGACACCTGACGACAACAACAGGAGATGGAAAAGCAGGAGTGGCAGAAACAGTGTCACAGCATCAAATCAAGAATCCAGCACCACCCACCTCACACGGAAACACGTCCGAGCTGCGGTAGTCTCTCAATCCCAGTTAGGCCTCATCAGCCATCTTTGGACACACAGATAAAACAATCATGGAAGACAATCATTCTCGACTGTGAGGGCTTGCCGAAGGAAGAATCAGTAAGTAACTCAATAGAAAGTGGAATACTTACCACCAGGAGTTTGCCTGATAATTGCTATCTTTTATTTTACGTGCATAAAGCTTTTTATGAAATGCAATACTAACAGTATATGGAAAACTAAAATACCTAAGAGCTATTTTGACTACTGTGGCAGCAGTGATAGTAAGTTCCCGGCTAGCTTTACTACTTGGTGTAAAGAAGCATTTGAATCTGTTGACATGGTCTCTGTATGCATATCCTGACACAGTGTTGCAGGGAGACTCAAATTTAGGTTGACAATATTTCAGGGGCTGTTTTCTGCTTGAGTACTCCAAGCTTGTCCACCTCGGCTGTGCCTTTCTCTTATGTTCAGGGATATTTGTTAGAACGCTGTAGGTTGCTGCGTGCTCAGACATACCATTGGTGGCTTCCGTATAAACAGTGATTTCAGTCTGGACTTTTTAAAATGTTGGTAAAGGCCAAGGAGTTTTCATATTGACAAGGAGAAATGAGAAATGATGTCAATAGGGTTGGGAACAGAAATACAGATGTTTGAGTAAGAATGATCTTAGCAGAAAGCCCTTTAAAGAAACAACTGTTTTTATTTGCTGCAAGCATCTGCATTTGTCTTTTTCAAGAAAATTGGCCACTGATAAGTATATATATATATTTTGTTGAACAATATTGTTTGAACAATATATATATTTTGTTACTATTTTTTTGCTTCCCCAAGTTTTGCTGATTTGCATGTGTATTTCTAGAAATGAATTATTTTAAGAACTGTATTTTAGTTTTCTAAGCCCTGTGCACCTGAGTAGATCACAGTTGCTAATAAACTTGCTCTCACCACACCCCTATGAGTAAGGAAATATTGTTCCACTTTACAAACAAGAAATAAATGCACAGAGAGACTAAGTAACTTGCCCAAGTTTACACAGGCAATTGAACCCTATCTCCCAAGTCCCAGACTAGTGCCCTAACTACAGAACCGTTCTTCCTCTCTCAGTTTGCTGTAGCGATGGCTTTATAGGTTCACATTCATTTTATACAGTACTCCCATTAATTCCTGTGGGATTGCTCACTTTGTAAGACAAATAGGAGTTGAGCTCCAGCTTTGTTATTCTGGAGTGTTCATGCTTAAATGTAGTGACCGTAGGGATATGTTAAGGACTTCACAGTGCTATATGACATTTTAAGCATACTGCTGCAGATGGGAGAGAAACCTGCTGGATGACAAATGCTTTAATGTTAATGTTTGCTACATGATTTCAGTATGTTGGTTGAATAAGATCATATGTGATCCTATGTTTATAGTTAAAAATGCTAAGTTGTAAAGCCATGTAAGAGAGAAGGCAGACAAAGTTATTTGGGTGAATCTGATATCTTTTATTAGACCAACTTAAATAGTTGGAAAAAAAAATGTAAGCAAGCTTTCGGGTTCAAAAACCCTTCATCAGGCTGAGGAAGTTTCAGCAGTTGGTGTGTGCTCTTCCTGGATGGAATGAAAAGTAACGAGAAGTCAGCTGAAAGTGTCTTTTTCTTTCCCTTCAATAACAAGCAGGGGAAAAAATCAGGTTCTGCATTATGTAATTTTTTTTTCGTTCTACAAAAATGTCACAGAGAAGAATGTTATTGATCCAGTGCTCTTTGTTATGCATTCCTGGACACAGGTTTAATTCCTGCTCAGATCTAATCCTGTCCCGATTTTGTGCCTGGGACTTCAAAGTGTATGGTATCACAGGAGTGAAAATAAATCGCATCTTTAGAGTGCACAACCGTATTCTGGGGTTGAAATTTGAAGAGAAGTTACAAATGCTGCTGGATAAAGAAAATGTAAATGAAACAGAGTAAGTGTATGCATTTTAGGGACAGTTTAGTGCAGCAAATCCTGTGTAAAACATTTAAACTGTGTGAGTTCAAGTGATAGGTCTGCTTAACAAAGCACTGCATGCCAACAAAGTGCTGTCAACCTTTACTTCTAGAAATGTTAGCTCTCGCCATTTTTTGGGAGGTAGTGAACTGAATAAAGTTGAAAGTCCCAATCCTGCAGTGAGCTCTGGGCAGGCACTGCGATCTACTTGTCTCAGCAGTTTGAAGGACTTGGCCTTCGCTGCTGAAAAGAACAGAGCATAATTGTCACTCATTCTCTCTTCACAACCTGCAACTCCAGGAGGCAGTTTGTGCAGTGACCATTTCCTTGTACACTTTATGACTTACTGACCTAGAAGCAAAAACTTCTTTACAACTCGAGTGTCCAAGGTCTGGAATAGACTCCCCCCAGAGGTGGTGCAATCACCTACTCTGGATATCTTCAAAAACACATCTGGATACTCACCTTGCTGTGGTTGTCTTTCCTACCCAAGCGCTTGGGAGTTGGACCTGATGATCTCAAGAGTTCCCTTCCAGCCCCTAACATCTGTGAATCTATGACCTCATGTTAATACTTTGTTACTAATAGAGATCTTAGTACAGTTAATGTGTGGGTTTTTTTGTCTTTTTACATTCACTGGGGCAGTGAATTTGTGTGTGTATGCATACAACCTTCCATTAACCAAGCCATGTTTTCTGTGGGGATGCTATGACCCAGCCAGCCTCCTTTCCACTAATTCAGTTATCTTGCTAGGGACCTCAAGGAAAGAGAGGGAGGTAAGGATTTGATATTTCAAATACAAATAAAAAGTGGGTTTTGGAGTTGGAGACAACCCGCCTACATTATGAAAGATCAGTAATGGACAAAAGACCACAAGCCCTAGATCTTTTAATGTTTATCAGATATCGGATACTATCAGCATTATTGAACAACATTACTTATCTCCTTTCTTAGATGGGAAGTTCCCTTAATTATAATCCAAGTAGTTCTTAGTGTCATACAATGAATGTATACTGTTGAGGCAAGGTATCTGGGGTTTTCTTTTTTGCTTTTTGCCTCTTGTTGCAACAGAAATACTAAAATATTTCCCTGCTTTTCATTTTCATTAAGAAACTACAGGAAGATGCTGGATTATCTATTTTATGTCTTTGACCCAAAATTGCCAGTAAAGAAAAAGCAACTGCTGCAAATACTTGAGGATGGTTTCCAGGGAATGGAAGAACACAAGGTGAGATGAAATATAGACAGAAAATTTTTTATTTTTTAGTAGCTTGTGGTAAAACCTAAAGCTGTCTTAAGTGGTGCTTCTCTCATCCCCTCTCCTTTCATCTCTTCATACCTATATTCCCGTTCTTCTTTCCCCTTTTTTATTCCTGTCCTTATTTCTCTTGCTATTTACTTCTCTTGTTCCTTGCTTTCTTGTAGATACTTGTGAATCCTTTGCTTTTTCACTACCATCCCCAGCATAGGCTTATCAGCTTCCCTTTTGTCTTCCCCCAGCTCCCTCTCTTTTTGTTGCACAGCTTCTCTCTAATGTCTGTGTGCCTCCTCTATGCAAGTGATGCATCAGGAGTGGTACAGCGTCATTACAGAAGGCTCCGTGACTTAGGTCTGTCTTTCAACTCAGGCCCCAAAGTTTTCTACCTCTGGAACAAGTTGGTGGTTTCTCCCAGCCATTTTGTTTTATAATTTTAATTTGTTTTTGTGTTCATACAATAATGACTGTCATCTTTCATCCTTCTCATTCCCTGCATCAGGTACTGGCAGTTTCAGCCACATGACTGTACTGCTGGGCTTTCTTTCCCAGGACTCCTCTGGCCCCAGTCAGACATGGCAGGAATATCCTAGAAACCCTGAGCAAAATCAAATCATATTGTCTAGATAAGGCAACATTCACAGGCTCCCCTGAGGGTGCAAGATACAGTCCCTGCTCCAAAGAGTTTATGATCTTTCTTGTCTCTCATTTTTTTCTTCCTGTCTAAATTATGATATCAAAGAAATCATTCTGCTCCTGTACTTTTCTCTCTTCCCCCTCTCACTCCTCCAAAAATCAATTGGTTATTTTCAAGTTTATGGTTAAATGTCATTAAATTCTTATAAGTCTTGTGAGCCAAATAAACATGCTCACATCTTGCTTTAATCTTTGCAGCAGCCTAACGGAGAAGAAGCCGTTCTCCTCTCTAACAGTCTAAGTATATCTGAATGTCCCAGAATAGAATTCTTGCAACAACAAGCTGAGGCTGAAGGCAAAAATAGCAGAGATCCTGAGGAACCATTCAGGCATGGTAATGCAGTAGTTTGGAAAGATGGTCTAAAGTGTATTGACAGCTGAAAGGCTTATTTCCTAAATCACAAATTTAGGAAAACTTACAAAAACTTCTGATTTAAGTTCAGTGGTAGCTGTGAGAGGGTGGGCAGGTCCTTAGAGAGGAACTCAGAGTCTTGCTGTCCTGGCTTAATGACATATCTGTGTATTAGGAAGCTTCACTGAGACAATGGCTTGGCATTTGGGGAGGTAATTGTCAGACAAGGTTGTGAAGCAGCTAAGGGAGACATTCTCCCTCTGGGAACTATGAGATATTAGCTGAGTCTTTCTAGACTCAATGCCTCACAAGCTATAGGAAGAAACACAGAAACAAAGGGATTGTGCTAACTCAGAGCACCTAGGACAGGTTAGAGAAAAACATTGGTGCCACTTTTCTTTTTCTAGTTCTGAGTTGGCTGCCTATAAATTTTAGCTAAATACTGCTAGCCCTAGATAAATCTCTTGTCCCAAAATGCATGTGTTTCATGAACAACATAAATATCACATCATAATAACAAGAGCTAAAACAGATATCCCCTGTTAGATCATTCACCTCCGAGGCCAGGAGATTATCTTTCCACTATTAAGCTGACCACTGACACTTTACTTGCCCTGCACTGAGGTGAGACTTGGTAGTGTGAGCATTACGTTTCCTTTCTTTCCATATCTAGGGAAACTCATACTTGCCAAAGCTTTTCTTGGCCGTAGTGCCCCAGCACATGAGAAGGATTCCATCAGCCAAGTCAACTATCCAGACGTTAATTCGGTGTTCCGGCCTTGGAAGCATTTACAAAGTGGTACATCTGCTTTTGATACAGGTACTGTACCTGGAGGCACTTAGCGCAATGTTAAGGTTATATCAGTGTTTATGTGCTACTGGCCGCATTTACACAAGATGCTGACTGTGTAGTCGTTACTGTGCAGTCATGTAGTGCTTGTATAAACAAGTACTACATGACTGCACAGTAACCAGAGTTACTGGCCAGTCACACCAAGGAACAGCTGTTTTGTGATGCTGACTGCAGTAGATTGTGACTATTGTGTAGTAGTGTCGTATCACGCTTCCTACCACACAACACTACCGCGCAGTAGTCACGAGCTACAACGCAGCCAGCATCTCATGTAGACATGGCCATTCTCTCCTTGGCTCCTCATTTACTGCAGCAAAGATGATTTCATCTGACTTGTTGGGGATTTAGAGTCCAGTCTCTGCCAATTCCCCATCCCTGCCTTCCTAGAACTTGCACAAGGGAAGGAGCAGTGGTTTCTTTTCATAGATTCATAGATTCATAGATGTTAGGGTCGGAAGGGACCTCAATAGATCATCGAGTCCGACCCCCTGCATAAGCAGGAAAGATTGCTGGGTCTAGATAACCCCAGCTAGATACTCATCTAACCTCCTCTTGAAGACTCCCAGGGTAGGGGAGAGCACCACCTCCCTTGGGAGCCCGTTCCAGACCTTGGCCACTCGAACTGTGAAGAAGTTCTTCCTAATGTCCAATCTAAATCTGCTCTCTGCTAGCTTGTGGCCATTATTTCTTGTAACCCCCGGGGGCGCCTTGGTGAATAAATACTCACCAATTCCCTTCTGTGCCCCCGTGATGAACTTATAGGCAGCCACAAGGTCGCCTCTCAACCTTCTCTTGCGGAGGCTGAAAAGGTCCAGTTTCTCTAGTCTCTCCTCGTAGGGCTTGGTCTGTAGGCCCTTAACCATACGAGTGGCCCTTCTCTGGACCCTCTCCAGGTTATCTGCTTCCCTCTTGAATTGCGGCGCCCAGAATTGCACGCAGTACTCCAACTGCGGTCTGACCAGCGCCCGATAGAGGGGAAGTATCACCTCCTTGGACCTATTCGTCATGCATCTGCTGATGCACGATAAAGTGCCATTGGCTTTTCTGATGGCTTCGTCACACTGCCGACTCATGTTCATCTTGGAGTCCACTAGGACTCCAAGATCCCTTTCCACTTCCGTGCCACCCAGCAGGTCATTCCCTAGGCTGTAGGTGTGCTGGACATTTTTCCTCCCTAGGTGCAGCACTTTGCATTTCTCCTTGTTGAACTGCATTCTGTTGTTTTCTGCCCACTTGTCCAACCTGTCCAGGTCTGCTTGCAGCTGTTCCCTGCCCTCCGGTGTGTCCACTTCTCCCCATAGCTTTGTGTCATCTGCAAACTTGGACAGAGTACATTTCACTCCCTCGTCCAAGTCACTGATGAGGACATTAAAGAGTATCGGTCCAAGGACCGAACCCTGTGGGACCCCACTGCCCACACCCTTCCAGGTCGATACCGACCCATCCACTACGACTCTCTGGGTGCGACCCTCCAGCCAATTCGCCACCCACCGGACTGTGTAGTCATCCAAGTCACAGCCTCTTAACTTGTTCACCAGTATGGGGTGGGATACCGTATCGAAGGCCTTCCTGAAGTCTAAGTATACGACATCCACCCCTCCTCCTGTGTCCAGGCGTTTCGTAACCTGGTCATAAAAAGAAACTAGATTGGTCAGGCACGATCTGCCTGCCACGAACCCGTGCTGGTTTCCCCTCAGCATAATTTGTCCTGCCGGGCTCTCGCATATGTGAGCCTTGATAATTTTTTCAAAGACTTTGCCAAGGATGGAGGTGAGACTGACTGGCCTATAGTTGCCTGGGTCCTCCTTCCTCCCCTTTTTGAAAATGGGGACCACGTTGGCCCTTTTCCAGTCCTCTGGGACTTGGCCCGTGCATCACGAGCTTTCAAATATTCCCGCCAGTGGCTCTGCAATGATGTCGGCCAGTGCCTTCAGCACCCTTGGATGGAGCTCATCCGGGCCTGCCGACTTAAAGGTATCCAGTTCTTCCAAATGACTCTGCACCATCTCAGGGTCTACGCATGGTAGTCTGGTGCCTTGCTGCTGCCTCTCTACAACCCCAGTGAGAGACTTGTCGTGCCCCTCTCTTAGGAACACTGAGGCAAAGAACTCGTTGAGGAGTTCAGCCTTGTCCCCTCTGTCCGTCACCAATTGTTTCTGCCCATTTAGCAGGGGTCCTATTCTTCCCTGGGCCTTCCTTTTACTCCCTATATATCTAAAAAACAATTTCTTGTTGTTTTTTACTTGGGTTGCCATCCTCAGCTCCATGGCAGCTTTGGCCCGTCTAACTGCCTCCCTACAAGCACGAGCAGAGGAGGTATATTTGTCTTTGGTGATCTCTCCCTGTTTCCACTTTTTGTGTGCTCCCGTTTTGTCCCTTAGGCTGCCCTGGATTTCTCTGGTCAGCCAGGGAAGCCTCCTGGCCCCTTTCCCCATTTTGCCTCGCTTGGGGATTGTCTTGCTTTGTGCCCGAAGGATCATTTCCTTAAGGCACAGCCACCCTTCTTAGGCTCCCATCATTTCAAAACTCCTACTCTGCAGTGCGTCCTTGACTAATCACCTGAGTTCATTGAAATCAGCTTTTCTAAAGTCTAGCACTTTCACCCTACTAGTTACCTTACCCACTTGACGTCTTATGGTGAATTCTATCATTAGGTGATCACTGTCCCCCAGAAGGCTACCGATCTGTAGGTCTCCTACCATGTCATCCCCCGTTGCCAATACCAGATCCAGTATGGCATTCCCCCTAGTGGGACCATGTACCTCCTGTGTCAGGTGGAGGTCCTGTACACAGGTTAGAAACCTGCGTGAGCGGTGGGACTTTGCTGTCTGTGTCTCCCAGCAGATGTCTGGGTAGTTTAGGTCCCCCATGACTACCGCCTCTTTAGCTTTTATGGTCTCCGAGAGTTGCCTCAGGAGCCCCGAATCCCTTTCTTCCCCTTGATGTGGGGGTCTGTAGCAGACCCCTACCACCAAATCCCTTTCTCCTTGCCCCCCCATGTAGCCTAACCCACAATCCTTCTACCTCCTCATCCTTGGATTCTGTCTTGATGAGGGTTGACGTATATTGCTCACTGACATAGAGCGCAACCCCTCCCCCTTTCTTCCCCACCCTGTCCTTTCTGTACAATCTATAGCCCTCAATATGTACTGCCCAGTCGTGGGATGAATCCCACCAGGTTTCCGTTAGCCCTACTAAGTCATAGGTGTTTAGTGCAAGCAGGAACGCTAGTTCATCCTGCTTGTTCCCCATGCTCCTAGCATTAGTATATAGGCACTTGAGCCCTGCGACTGGTGCCTTTGCTGCCCCCCTGCTCCGAGTCCCAAGGGGCCCTTTGTTTCTTACCTTCACGTTTCTTACCTGTGCCGTAGTGCTGGCCTCCCCATGGCTTTCAGGTTGGCTTTTGTGTATGTCTCCTTGGTACTGAAGTCTGCTGGGGAACTACTCTTTACCGCCCTGGGAGGATCTGGAGAGGAACAGCCTTGCCTTAGAAAAAGATAAATTTAAGTGACAGATTCTATAGTAAAATCTGATAATATTTTTGGAAACCACAACAGGATATGTAAAGAGGGTACAAATCAAATACTGACTTCTATTTTCAAATTTGAACTTTTTAAATGAGAGAGATATTTAAGTTCATTATACCCATTGTAACTGGAAAACCTGTGTAAAACACCGTCTTGAACATGGTTCTTTTTTCCTACTGCAGAAGCATGTTCTTCCTTGGAACACACAAGCTGTGACTGCAGCCTTCGGCAGTGTGAGTGGTTTGTGTTCGATCATGAGCTGGTCTTGCCGGAATACCTCATTGAAATTGAGTACATTACGCTGGTATGAACTTTGCTTTTCTTCCTGGGGTGTAGGAGGGTCAGCTTCAGACCTTGGAGGTCAAGAGGAAAAAAGCAGTTGAAATCTGTGCCTCGGCTTCTTGCAGTGGTGACAGTGTGGCCCAGAGCCAGGGCAGAGCCGTGATCCGCTGCCTGCACATCTCTGCCTAGGGCATGCAGGCTGCAGATCGCAGCTCTGCCCCAGCTCCAAACCACGCTGTCACCACCACAAAATCCCAGCCTGGTTGTGGAGCAGCTCCACATCCTGCTGCGCACCCTGCCAGGAGGGGTGGTGCTAGGGAGGGCCTTGGGGGGACTATAGCCACCCCAAAATTCCCCGTAGCCCCCTCTAGCCACCTGTCCCAACACCGCCGCCACTGCTGCCTGCCCCACACAGGCAGCAGCAGCTTGACTCTAAACCCCTCAACAAGTCAGATGAAATCATCTTTGCTGCAGTAAATGGAGAGCCAAGGGGAGAATGGCCATGTCTACATGAGACGCTGCCTGCGCTGTAGCTTGTGACTGCTGCGCAGTAGTGTTGTGTGGTAGGAAGCGTGATGTGACACCACTGCGCAATAGTCATGAGCTGATAGTCTGAACGGGTTTTGCCTTAATTAAAAAGGATTTTCTGTTCTTTTTTGCGTTTGTTTGTTTTTTTTAAGTTCCACAGTGGACTGGCCTTGTGAACCTGTGACTTTGTAGTTTGTTTGGAAGGGTTCCTGGTTCAGATCCTGTGTGTCTTTTCGGAGCAGAGAAGGAGGAGTGTACAGAGACTCAGGGGGAAGAGGTTGTGTTGCATTTGAGTGGGTTCTTTGCCTCTGCCAAGCCTACTCCAGATAGCTTTACTGAATTCTCCTTAGCTGAACAGTGAACAACTGCAAAGTTTGGTGCTTGGCAAGACAGCTGATTTCCTCAGTGGGGGTATCCTATGTGACAGGATATGGCAAACCCTATGACACACAGGATTTTTAACAAACACTAATATTCAGGTGCTTGCATAAGCATAATCAGAGGTACTCTCTTATGAATGGCAATCTTTTAATTTTCTGAATTTGTATATACATTTTTACATAATTTACCTGACTGAAAATTAGAACTGTGACAAATATTGATGAATACTATTTTGCTTAGGTCAAAATTCAATCCCTGTTCTCTATACTCAACAATGTGATTGTAGAAGAAGGAAACAGAAACACGGAAGGATTCATACTGTCTCATGACTTGCAACTGGACAATGAAGCACTGAATATGGAGCCTGCAGTAAAGGCCAGACCAAAAATTGTTTGCTTGGATGAAAAAACAGTGCTTTCAGTTGCTAAGGCCAATATTTACAGCCAAATCATGGTGAGCATTGTCTGTTAAACTGTAGCAGGACAAATTCATTCTTTAACCTGTGTCGTATCTTTTTAGATTGCCTTCAAGCCAATGAAAGGTAGGAAGTCCAAACTTTAGCCTATCATCTGTGCTTGATTCTGGAGTTGCTTCTATTAATTTAATGCCAGAGTAATGTTATTAAAAGTAAAAGAATTTTTCAATCTGGTGTGAGATCACAGTGCAGTCCTCTCTACACATTATGTCTCTACATGATTATGCTGATGATTTTGCAAAGCAATACTTATTACTAGTGTAACCTGGGCAGTACTCCTAAAGGTACCCCCTCTCCAATTGAAGGGGTCAAAGCAGGTGCACAAGCGCTGTGGGAGGTGTAGGTACTGTCCTCCCCCTATAGAGCAGAGCCAGACCACCCCTGGGGACTTAACCATATACCTTTTAATGAGGGAACAATACTGGGAACATAACAGGCATAACCAAGGGGTATAGTGGACACTACAATGCCCCAAGGGGCAGGATTCAACAATGGTTAGACACTTACAATCATTGGCAAAAGACAGGGTTAACAAAATATAAAACACAAACAGCAGAGCAAACAATACTGGTTGGAGAAATATAAAAAGGCACAAAATGCAAAGTGTCAAAGGACAAGGAAATATAGGGCCTAGGTACCTGGAAAGGGAGAAAACACAATGGCCCCTTTCCACTGCAAGAAGAATTTCTCCTTGTTAGCTCACTCACCCCAAGTCACTAAAGCTGGGACTTGAACTTGGATCTCCCATAGGTAGACAGGAATGCTACCACACAGCCACTAATGCTGGTACTGCTCCAAGCTGCTAGGGGTCTTGATCTTCCTGGAGCCCCGGCCTCATGTTGAGCTGCCTGGTCTCCGATTGGAGGAGCTGGAAGCCGAGCTCGGAACCCCTCAGGTCGCTGCTTAGATCTTTGCTGAAGCGGGAAGCCTCTCCTGCCGGCCACAGCCTCTCATAGGGGTTCCTGGAGCCCAGCGAGAAGCCTCTCCTGCCGGCCACAGCCTCTCGTAGGGGTTCCTGGAGCCCAGCGGGAAGCCTCTCCTGCCAGCCACGCACCATGCTGCTGAGGGTCCGACTGCTGCCTGCAGGTCCTGCTCCTTCAGGCTCTTCTGGGGCAACTGCTTCCACCCCACTAGCTGAGCTCTTGCCAGCTCTTTGAAGCTCCTTCCTCATAGTCCCTCACTGGTCTCCTCCTGAGTCAGCCGTGCTGCCCCTTTTATCCCCCTCCAGGTGACCCAAGGGGCCAATCAGGGAACATGAGGGGTGAGTCTCTGGGGCCTGATTGGTGAGGAAAGGGAATCCCAAGTCCTCCAATCATCTTTTACCCTTTCAAAGCCCCTGGGCCAAATCATTACCAGATTGGTGAGGAAAGGGAATCCCAAGTCCTCCAGTCATCTTTTGCCCTTTCAAAACCCCTGGGCTAGGTCACTGCCAGCTAGCCCGTCACGTCAGTATTGGACCAGTTTCTGATCTTACTCCTGGTTCTACCACGGGAAGTAACTCCACTGAAAATTGCTGAAGCTAGTGTATGTGAGAACAAGATAGTGCTCAAGGGACCAGCCTGAACCTTGAGTTTTCTTGGATGTGTAGTTGTGTAATTGTAGCAATTGCTCTTGGACAGACTTTATGCCAGTTCTGGCACTGGAAAAACACAAATCCAACTTGATGGAGAATCATTCAAAGTATGTAGCTAGCTTCAAATTTTAGCCACAGATTTTAAAATATCAGTGCAAGAGGCATACATACAATAGGCCTCAGAAGCATTGAGTGTCGGCTTCAGCCAGGGCTGGAGCTTTTGACTGGGATGTGCCAGTGCTTCTGCTGGGACGGAAACTCAGAGATTCCTGCTAGAGATGGCCTTGCCCTCACCCTGCCTGTTCAGAGTCAGACCAATCACCATACTTGGGGTCAGGAAGGAATTTTACCCTATGGTCAGATTGGTATGGACCATGGGGGTTTTGCCTTCCTGTTGCAGGGGGTCATGGGCTCTTTTCCTGGGATTTCTCAAGCATATTTTAACAACCTTTGCAGCAGCCAGATGTTGACTGCCATGGTTCCTTCACTTTACCTGTGGCAGGTTAGGTATTATGTCTTGTAGTTGTGTCAAGGTTGATTGTGTAGTTTCGTTAATAGGTTAGACAATGCATTTGTATAGGATGGTTTGGCTAGGGTTGATTTTGCCTCAGACTTCCAACCCTACTTTTCTATGATTTCTATGAATAGTCCAAACTTTGCATGTGCAGTGCCGGCCATTCCCCATCTAACTGCTGTCTTGAACATGCACTTCCCCATTTTGTCTGCACAAACTGAACTGAACAATTACCCCTTACATTTAGCATTTACAAGTGCTGAATCATTTCTCAGGTGTTCCAGTCTCAGGTCTGCCCCATGAGCTGACAGTATTTCCCATACCTACTGACTATATTTTCCCTCCTGCTGTTTATGGGATATTATAGTCTTGCCCCTTTTAAAGTTAATTTGGAGGCAGTCTTTGTTGAAATGCTGGAATAGTTTTCTTCCTGTTCTACAAAGGCATCTCCTCTCCCATTATCTGTGGAACGCTACTGGAAACTCTAACTTTTTGCTCCTGCTACGACACCATTCACTGTGTAAGTTGCCTTCCCACTGTTACTTCAAGGAGAAAAGAACAAATATCCTTTGAAACAGGAAATAAAAGAAACGGTTTCCCCCCATGTCTATAAGACTTCCCCTCACAATCTTCCTATCATTTAAGTCTTTCTTTGTAACCATAGACTAGTTATATTTTTTCTGACATTCTTAACACGCAAGGCTTTTGAGTGTTTAGAGAAAGGTTGGTACTGGGTATTCAGAAGAGTTGTAGGTATTGGGTATTTAGTATTCAGTACTGGGCATTCAGAAGAGTTGTAACCGTTCATCAACTCTTGACCTAGGTTCTCAATTTGCATGGAAACAGCCTGAGCAAACTGCGGGACATCCCTAGACTGATTGGGCTTCGAAAGCTCATTGTCAGCTTTAATGAATTTACTTCCTTAGATGACATTTGCCACTTGGTAAGTAAGGCTGCTCTGCATTTTTTTTAAGGGAAATTTGAACTAAAGGGAATATTTTGACTGAAGAAAATCTTTTGTGCACACAGAAGTTCTGCAAAATTCATATTTCTTGCATGACAGCGAGCTAGATTTACTCAGAAAGGGGGAAACCCACCACCTCCAAATCAAGCCTTTGTCCCTGCCCCTCCTTTGCCGTGTGGGCTTGTAGACTGAGCTCAGGACTAGGATTTGGGTGATCCGGATTCTGTCTCTGGCTGTGCCACTGACCTATTGGATGACCTTTAGCAGGTCATTTCAGCTCACTTGCCTCAGATCCCCCATCTGTACAATAAAACGATATCTGTCATGAGTCCGGGTACACTTTGGGGGTTTGTGGTATGTCATGAATATTTCCCTGTGTTTTATTGTACTGATGTGGCATGTGTTGTCTCATTGGAAAGCCCATATTATGCTGTACCCATTTAAGTGACCATTAGCACTGTAGAGACTATGTTGTGTTGTCTATATATATTATTTTGGTTTAGGATATGGTTTAGTCAAGGAAGGGGAGTGGGCAGGAGTGTTAAATCTCTCTTGCTATTTTGGCACTAGGGCAAGAAGATTTCTACTCCCAGACACAGGCAGGAGTTGGGCCCCAAGTCATTGTTTTCCTGTAATAGGGAAATCAACTCCTCTAAACTAAAGGCATCTGAGAGAAATGGCTCATTGGCTGGGGGGCCTCCAGGTTTTTAGGGAGACAAGAACTTTCTGGAGGATTCTTGTGACTCATGAACAATTAGAATAATGATGATGAGGAGGGTCTTCCAAGGGCCCTCAAACTCCTGTTTATAGTCACAAACTCAGGTTATGGTCACAAACACCTGCAAGACCATTTTAGGCTGGACATAAGGAAGAACTTCTTTACTGTCCGAGCCCTCAAGGCCTGGAATAGACTGCCTACAGAGGTGGTGCAACCACCTACTCTGGACACTTTTAAGAAACATTTGAATGCTTATCTTGCTGGGATCCTTTGACTGAAGCTGACTTCCTGCCCCTTGGGCAGGGGGCTGGACCCGATGATTTTATGAGGTCCCTTCCAGCCCTAATATCTATGAAGTCTATAAGGACTCTCTGTGGATTCCTCCACTCTTAACTGGTGCAGTTATCCCATTAAGCCTGATATGAAAGGTCTACAGGGCCTTCCTTGGCTGATCAAGATGGGGATAAATTCCACCGGCATTCTTATTGCTGGTGGATGAAGTAGACATGGACAGAGGATAGGCTGGGCTCACATAACATTCAAAGGTTCAATTGTTTATCCAGACTTCTGTCCAGGCAGGCTTTGAGCTACCAAGTAAAGGACACCCTGAGCATGTAATCTGGTTGAATCACGCCTTTTGTAAGTCCATTACAACCAAATGCATTACCAAATACTTCCTTTTGCTGCAGTTGTTTTTTTATGTACAGTTAGTCTCCAGTCATTACTATGTTGCAGCCCAACCTGGAGTATTTTGATGCAAGCCATAATCATGTGATCACACTGGAAGGCATTAGAGGCTTGAGCAAACTGAAGTACTTTGACCTGAGCTGGAATCAGCTGAAAAAGACTGGGGAAGAAATAAATGTCTTACGTAAACACACTCCCAACTTACTCAGTCTTGATATCAGACATAACCCGTGGCATAAGGTATGTGTCAAAACCTGACCCTCTCAGGAAAACCTTCTACCCAAAACAGTGATTTGACAATAAGGAGCTAAATGCTAGACCTGATTCTTCCATATGTTGAGGCCCCATTACACCACTCAGCTACAAAAGAGGCCTAAAAGCAGATGTAATTGTAATTTTTACATCCACTTGAAGCTTCCTTTAGCTTGTCAGGATCTTAATGTAGTGCAGTGGGGGCCAATTTTTTTGGCAGGGGTGCCACAATTTAAGCCCCATGCTGCACCCCAGCCCCACAAGTGCCACTTTGATCCCTTCCCCTGCCCAATCTGTTCCCTGTCCCCTCCCCATCTGCCATATGCCACACACACAGGCTACCTGTGCCGCAGCTGGGCCACCCCTGATGTAGTGGATAATCATGCCCATTTTCTTTAGTCACAGCCTCCAGGAAGAAAGCTGCAGAAATGGTTTTAGAAGAAATCTGACACAGAGTCCCTGAGAGACACATTTTCCCTCTTCCTCACTTCCAGAGGAGGGTTATTTGCTGATTGATACATCTAGAGCAGCTTTGACATCAGTGCCACATTCAAACTTTGCTCACGTTTACGTTATTCCTTGTGGCCTGTGCAGGGGTAGCAAGATTCGGCCCCTATTTCACACATTTCTGCTCACTCTCAGCCCACAGAAGTGGGGAGGACATGATGGCCTTCTGGCAGCTGTTCTCCCACCCCGCAGCTGCTCAGGCTAGGGGTAGGTTGTATAGGGCAGCAAGGGGACACCTTATGCCCTTGGCTCCAATACGTGGACACAGGACCAATCTCGGTACAAGCATTTGCTTACATAAAATAAGAGCAGATTGGATTGGAAAGATTATCAACAGCTTAAAATAAAATCAGATATAAAATACGAAGAAATGAAGTGCCTTTGCTTTTTTTCCCAAGCCAGGCTCATTGCGTCTGAGTGTCATTGGCCGATTAAAGGCACTTACTCATTTAGACGGGGTCCTGATCACGGAGGAAGAGGCTGCAGATGCTGTGCGTTATATCGCTGGGTCCAAGATCACTCAGGTTTGATGTTTCATTTTCCTGTAACTTACAGTGAATGCAAGAGCGGAGAAATCAAGTCATAGACATAGTCATGCCATTCAACATTTGTTTTAAAAAGGCTTCTCTCTCTAATCTTTTTTTTTTTGTTTTTTAAAAAAAACTTAAGTTTCATACACATTCTGAAAATGCCATGTTTTGTGCTGTCAGGAATTTGTGGTGAAGCAGCAGGCATTTAATAAGTACTGCTGCCACTTAGTACTTTGCTGACACAGGCAGTACAGTGGTACACAAAGAAATGCCTTAGTATGATAGATTTGATATAATTTTGAAGTTGTTGAAAACAACTCTGCTTAATTTCTACTCCCCTCAGAAGGCAGAAAATTAACTATGTTTTTTCCTCTTATAGACAATGGTGGGAATACAAAAAGTACTAAATGAATTATTAATATTTTTTTAAACAACTGGACCCAAATTCCTGAGACCTTTACTCAGGTTTTATTTTGTCTTTACTCAGACAATCTCTCATTGACTAGAACTGGGACTAATTAGAGCAGGAGATGAGCAGAAATGAAGAGAAGGCTTCAAGATTTCTCCTGATTAGTTTTGTTTGATCTTTTTTGTTTGTTCGTTAATAAATCCTAAAAATCTAACAAAGAAGAGATGTAGACCTAGTAGATCTTTGTTAGATATGTTAATATTTGATATTAGATATAGAATTAGATATATTAATATCTGTTAGATATATTAATATTTGACCCATCTCCTTATATTGGAGGATTGCACACTATAAGGTCTTTTCATTTGTGGTAAGTTATGGAATATGTACATTACCTTATACAGTATTTTCATTTTGTCAGGCATCTCTGTTAGAAAACTCCAGGACTGATGAAGAGAGGCGACACGTTCTTAGTGTATTCCCTTATGCCAAAATTCTCACCCAGTTTAGCAAGAACAGAGTGGATTTGCAGACACAGCTCCAGCGCAACTGGTATTCTATGGTAAGGTTGAAACTGTATAATATAAAGCAAGTCTGCACTGATGATTTCTGCCATGTCTTTGTTTTCTGCTTGTTTGATGACTTGATATGTGCTAATTATAAATATCTTTTGGAGCCCTTTTATAATGCAGTGTAGTGTGCAACATTTAGAACAACAGTGACAACAAAAGCAGGAATCTTTGCCAGATTAAACTAGCAACTAGGCCAGTGGAGTATCTTGTCCGTCATAGTGGCTGCTTCCAGATTCCTCTTAGGAGGTGGTAAGAACCCTCACAATGGACATTTATTAGATAACCTTCCCATGGTGGAAATTTCTTTCTAGCATTCCCAGATTTTTAAGGTGGGAAGGGCCCCTTAAAGAACTCTTGCATAAAACAAACCGGAGTACCTCACCTAGGAATTTCTGTATCAAGCTCACAACTTCTGTTTGTGTTAAAGTAGAACTTATACAATGATGTCTAGTGTTGTTGCCTTCCAGGCAGCATCCTTCTGACTGAACTACACACCTTCTGCCTTGCTCCCTCCTGGCCCCACATCTCTTTTCCTTTTGGTTGTCCAGTAAGCCAGCTTCAGCAGCAGGGGTATCTAGCCATTGGCCTGCTGGCTAGGACCTCTGGGAGCTAAGATAAGTACATTCAACCCCACTATGGTGAGGAGAACCTAGCATCTGAATAGCCCAAAATGCCACTTACTTAGCTAATATAGTTGCGTAAGTGCTATGTACCCATCTGAAGGGGGAGCTGGGGTCTTAATCTTTAAGTATACATGTACTTTTTCCCTAAAATTGTTAGACTGTTCAAGATATTTTGGACCTTAAGCTGAAAAGATACAACTGCAGTTTCACATGTGTATTGTGCAGTTCTTTCTTCTCTGTATACCCGCTCCTTTCTTGTGAGCCTGTAACTGAGTTGGTGCTCCAGGGGCGGCTGGAACGGCACCTGGTGGCTGCACAACCCATACCCTACTCCAGCTGTAGGGTGCCCGCCCCTTCTCACTCACCTGCCACACCTTTGATGTAATTGTTTGATTGGAAGGGAGGCTTCCTAATGGGTCCTAGAGCAAGCCACAGTTCCTCTAACAGCCAGCAGGTCCCTCCTGGACTCTGCCGGTCTCAATCCTTCCCTTTCTGTATGAGCACTCTCAGCCTGGCCATGCCCTAGGGCACCTGTGAGCGTTAAGGGCTAATTATGTGGCTCCAGCTTCCCCTTACATCATAGCCATGCTTTGCAGAAGGTACCAATGAATGACTTCGGTGTCCATTTGGCCCCAACATGATACCAGGCCTCTTCAGGCCTCTATACCCTTGTCAGGACCTCAGCCTTCCCAGCTTCAGCCCCTTTTCTCTGAGTCTCATCCTGAATCTTTCCCTCTCAGGTTGTGTCCTGCTTGGGCTATAGGCCACTGGCCCTGATCTTGCCCTTCTGGAGCTATCTCTGCCCTCCCTTGTGCACTGAGCATACTCTGGCTCCATCTGGGCCCCTGACCCCGGTCTCACCCCTTTAGGGCTGCCTCTGTCCTGCCTTAGACATTGAATCTGCTCTGTATGCAAGACCCCCCTGACCCTGGTTCTGGCCTCCCTGGGCCCTTGTCCAACTCCTGTCCAAACTAGGCTTCAGCCTTTCTTTCTTCCTCTCTAGGCTTGGATCTCCCCGTCAGGTCTGGGCTGCTAGCAGGGCTTTAAACATTTGTGTGCCCCTCTAGCACCCTGCTGTGGGTTAAGCCCCCAAGTGCCTCCAGGCACCTCTCGGGCACCCCACCATGGCCTCTGCTCACTCCCCTTTCAGCCACTCTTAAACCATCATTGAATCTGTAACCCAGGAGTAAGCCTTCTGGCAAATACAAACTAAGCCCCCTTTGGGTCCAAACATAGACAATGGCTACCTGCCTGCATAACAGGGTTTCCCCCTTACCCCAGGTAATATTCCCTTCTAGGGCATCATCACTCTGTTCACCTTCCTCAAGATAGCCCTGGTGCCAGTTAAGAGATCTCCTGCATTCCCCTTGCTATGGAGTTGTTGCCTCCACCTGCCTCCTCTGGCTCAGATCCTGGGTTCATATGGCTGGAAGCCACATCCCATTTGCTCACGTGGCTCCCTGAGCTGCTACAGGTGTTTCCTGAGTGGGCTTGCTGACGTGCCTCCAGTGCAATTTACTACTGCTGGTCCAAGCAGGGCTTTGCCTTGCTAGATTATTGCAGAGTAAACAGCTGTGTGATAGGCACTCCTAGCCTCTGCCACTTCCCCTGGTTGGCTGTTTTCCTTGTAGCCAGCTCTGCCTGCTACTCTTTTCTTCTCTAATAACAAGAGCTTTTTGACTGATAGTTGCAGAGCCGGCAGGTTTGAAACTTTCAGTTATTCAATGAGTTCTAATAAAATGCAACACCAAGCCCAATTACGAGGAGAAAGCTGGTAGGTCTAATTTCAGGCCTAAGCACATTGATGGTATTGCTTCAAATAATGTCTCTTACCTTGAATAACCAGTTATGTTTAGAAGCATATTATATAACTGAAAACCGTATAGGAAGAGCCAAGGTCATCCTAACCTGTCATAATCCATGCTCTGACCTGTCATCTGAAATCACGTTAATCTCCCAAGGATAAAAGGTTAAGAGCTCCTCTGTCAGTTCAATTTGTAGTGCAGAGTACAAAATAGCTAGAGGAAAACAGTTTCTGCTGATGAGCATAGTGGTCTACTCTGCGTGCATTACAAAGTGCATGTTTGCAGAAACATCCAAGAAAGCCAGTGTTTCTGCACACAGCGTTACACTTTTGGGGTATTATTAACCGAGTTCATGTAGGGATAGAAGATATTTTTGCAGAAAGAAAGGGACATCACAAGAGCTAGAAGAATGAACACTTTGCCTATCAGCATAGCAAAAATAAAGAACAGCTTTGAATTCTGTAATGATTGCTTGGTGTAGATCAGAGACGAAGCTGAGTACCCTGGACCCCCAAAGACCTAACCTGCAAGTTACCAAGCTAAGATGCTTGGTTAGCCTAATAAAACATACAGTAACCTTACTGGTTGTTTTCTGAGAAAGGGTGGAGTCATGGCAATGCCGTCACATTGTGGAAGAGATCGTTGATTGCACTTTCTCTCTGTCACGAAGGTATTGAGAAGTGAGTGCTTGCAGTCACTGCAGATGAAAAACAGTTCTTTGACAAGACCAAGTGAGAAACATGCATTTGGATCTAAGTTCATCCCTGCCCAAGAGTTTTTCAGGCGTGAAAAACAAAACAGATGAATATGATACAGACATTAAAGGAAAGAAAAGAATATGTTTATGCTGAATCAGAGATAAAAGGGAACCATGAAACTAGGATTAATCCTTTCTTAGCAAACATTGAACCCCTAATAGAATACCGAGCTAACAAATTCAGGTGATATCCTGACCCATCGGAAATGAAGGTTTTACCGTTGACTTCCACAAGACCAAGATTTCACCTCTGGATTTTAGAATTAAGACGTGACAGCAGGCTAACCAATCACATCATTCTTATTCTATGTTTGCAGAAAGGGTTACATTAATCCAGTGCTGAGATCTGGTTTATACTAGAAACATTTTATGCATGTTTCTGATGCTAGATTTACCTGCATTGGGCATTTGAGAGCATGTTTACTTATACTGCACAATCATGGTTTGTTCTGGTGCAAGTGGTGGAGTCTTCTTGAAGATGTTAAAATGAAAACCTGAATTGCATTGTGGAGCTGTAGCTCATACAGTGTTATTCAGGAAGAGACTCCTATTGATATCAGTGGGAAACGCTGGTAGAATTATTGTGATGGCAGCATTTGTCAGAATTAAATTCCAGATAGATTGACTGACTGAGACTTTTTCTTTTAATTCAGATCACAGTCTTAGATTTTGATGGACAACATCTCTCCAAAATTGCCAACCTGGAGAAACTGGGGAATTTAAAATGGGCATCTTTTAGCAACAATAATCTAACTAAAGTAGAAGGATTGGAATCTTGCCTCAACCTTGAAGAGCTCACGTTGGATGGAAACTGCATTTCAAACCTAGACGGTACTGTACTGAGGAAGTTAATTTAAATCAAGACATTTAAGTTGGGCACAATAGAAACATTTCCACTCTAGTGTCTTTTTTATTTGTATTGCTTTCTGAACTATATGATTTAAAGGTTTCAGATTAAAAAATAAATTATCTCTACTCATAGTTGGTAAGGTGGAAGGGACCTAAGTAGATCATCAAGTCCGCTATGGGCAGGAAAGAATGCTGGGGTCAAACGACCCCGGCTAGGTGATTATCCAGCCTCCTTTTGAAGACCCCAGGGTATTTCTTGTGATGAATCTTTGACAGAAACAAAGAAAAGAGGTGAGGCAGAGCAATTGTGTTTAAAAAAGCAAAGTCTAGGTCTTTACGTCAAAAACTATTTTTAGGTGTGGATGCATGTGCACTTTTAGTGTACAAACTTGCTGTAGCCTGTACACTTGGTGCAAGAAATATAATAGTTCCTGTGATAGCTGCAATCTCTTTGGTCATTAATCTCTAAAATGTGATGGTAATTAACCATTCAAGTTATAAAACATTCACTTTTAAATGGAGAGATTTATGTGTGCAAACTCTTAGATCCAATGTTCCAGTAACCCTGGGGCAGTTGTTATATCCTCCTCCAAACTTCCACATCCCCTTTGCTTCAAAGCCTGTCCCAAGGACTTCTGCTGCTGCTTTAGGGGTGATGCCTCTCCCTAGTGGCCTCTCCCTAGACAGTCTTTGGGCTGCTAAGAGAACAGGCCATCAGTGATCCCTTCTGATCCTGCTGGCATCAGACCCGGATGCCAAATCGTATTGCGTGTAGCTTGTTTTACCATCTCAGTTGCCCATTCCTTTTGCTTTTCACTGTAGTCTGTTAAGGATATCTCCTTTATTTTCCCAGGAATTTCAAAACTCACCAAACTAACACGACTTAGTGTAAATAATAATCTTCTCATCAGCCTGGAGAGACATGTGTTTGACAACCTGTCTCATCTTCATTACCTCTCTCTTGAGAGCAACAGAATCACCTCGTTGGCTGGTTTGCAGAAAGCCTATGCACTAATAGAACTCTACATAAGCAATAACTATGTATCTACCAACCAAGAGATATATCACTTGAAGGTAAAGTGGCTGCTATTGCTTTAGGTTTGGGCAGGAAGAGCAGGGAACAAACTTGCAAATTGCTCTTTACTAATTACCTTATACCTCCTATAAATATAGGCAGCCATGTTAACAAGTGATTGCCTAAATTGTCCCTGCAAGGCTTGCATTTGTCCATTTTTTAAAATTGGACCTGTGGTAATTGTCCTTAAGACCCCCTAGTCTGATCTTCCATCAGGATTTGTGTGCTCAGCACTGGGAAGGAGGTGCTGAACACCCATCAGGTTTGGGCTAAAAATTATCTTCCCTGAGCCATCCACTCTGCACATCAGATGCAGTCGGTGAATGATACCAGGAACTAAGTCAAAGGCTCAAGCATTATTAACTTAATAAGAGACTGAAGACCTGATTTTCATTTACATTCAGACCCTTTAGCAGACTGGTAAGGCAGAATTGCTTTAAACAAAGTACAAGCGTAATTTGTACCTGCTTTATGCAACCAAATGGATATCAAGTAGCCTAAGTGTAAATGAGAAGGCCTAGGTTTTATAAAATGTTGTTGAAAACTTGATACATGGAGTTGTGAGCTGAAGAAAGGGATTACAGGCAAACATACAGAGCAGCCTGAATGTCTTTGCTCACTAATGTTTGGAGTGATGATAATAATAAGGCTTAATCTGTGTATTTTTTTTCTTAGGGTTTAATTAATCTGATAATACTGGACATGTATGGTAATCTAATTGTGTGGAAACAAGATAACTACCGCTTGTTCACAATTTTCCATCTTGCATCACTCAAAGCCTTAGATGGTGTTGCTGTTGTAAGTTATTGTATGCACCAATAATCTTGTTAAAACACTTTTTTTCTAAATCAAGACCATTGCCTATCACACTAATCAATATTCTCATTGTTTATTAGTATTCCCACATCTGTCTCTGTTCAGCTTTTGACTCTTGTCGTATACTTAGGTAGCAAGCTCTGTAAGGCAGAAGCCATCTTTCTGTTTGTACAGCACCTTGCACCATAGGAGCCCTGCTCCATGATTATTAGCACTCCTAGGTGCAGCAGCGACAGTGTTGCATGAGCATCTTGAAAAATTCTAACACCTACTAAATCAGTCTAATATAATAAAAGCTGGGCCATGGTGGGGGGGGCTGGAAGGGAGGACGCACGGCCGGGAGGTGCGTGGCCGCTGCCAAGGGGTGCATAGCCACGGCAGCGCAGCCAAGGGGCATGGGGCATGTGGCCATCAGGGGCAGGGCATGTGGCTGCGGTGCAGCCGGACCTAAAATGGTGGCAGGAGTGTGGGGAGTAGGGCTGGACCCGAAGCGGCGGAGGGGGAAGTGGGGCGGGACCACAGTGAGGGGATGGGGATGGACCCAGAGTGGCTGGGCAAGGGGGGGAGCAGGGCCGGACCTGGAGCAGCAGGGTGAGGGGGGAGCAGGGCCAGACCCCGAGCGGCAGTGGGAGCAGAGTTGGACCCGGAGTGGCGCAGAGTGGGGTTACAGCAGGGGTGGAACCAGAGCAGCGGGGGGAACGGGCAGGTGGTCCCAGACCTGCAGCAGTGGAGGGAGGGTGTAAAGCCAGACGCAGGTCTCCATCCCTGCCCCCCTCTCTCCCCATCATTCTTGATGGACATTTTGCTAGTTAACTAATAATATTATCATCTACATTACAACTCTGTAGTTTAGCACATGGATGTTTGTCGTTAACCTAGTCAGTAAAAATATAGCCAATGTAACATTACCGCTTTAAAACTAAATCAGGGTAGGCAACCCCCGTCATGTGTGCCATTGCGTGGCATGTGCAGGCATTTTGCTTGACACACGTGCCTTGGGGCAGGGAAGGGGCTGGGGCTGCACTATCACAACAAGGATCAGGCCCCTGGCGGCTCTCCCAATGTCTGCCCCTGGCAGGCCAAAATCTTACAAGTTGAGGTTGCAGGTGTTGTTGGCACTCTGCCCAAATACATTGCTGATCCGTGACCTAAATTATAACTTTGAAGGCATCTTTATATCAAGGTCTGATTTTTCAGGTCCTTATCATTTTTTAAAAATGATACCATTAGCTGAAACTTTACATGCCTGCAATATTATGGAGGTCCTAGGTCTGCATTAATACAGCAGAGTTCACTTTTAAATGTCATCCTGTAGGAGCCAGCAGAAGTCGAGAGTGCCAAGGATTTATTTGGTGGTAGACTGACTTGTGATACTATTGCAGAAAGATTAGGGCATTCCAACTTCACTAAAATGCAAGAATTAAACTGGACAAGCTCCACCATCAGGTACAGTAATTTTCAAAAGTGTCACTGATACGGTAAAAATAGCATTTACTATGATGGTTAGGAAAATATAACTGAAAGCAGAACCTGCGCTTAGTTAATGCAGCTCATATGTGCAGCTGTTTATAGGTAAAATCTTCATGTCTTATCCACAGAGTTGGTATGTCATAGCTCAAACAGAATACTTTTGCTCAGAGTCGGTGAGGAAATGGTCTCTGTCTTCAGATGCTTCTCTTCTCCAGACAAAGATTTGTGCTGACTTTGCACATTTTGGATGGACATCTAGACAAGTGACTTCTTGTGGTCAGAAAAGGTATATTTGCCTTAGCTGATTCCTGTTCTGATCCATCAGAAATCTGGCTAAAAACCTATGCAGAGAACAGGCACATTGGGCACAAATATTTTTGTGTTGCTGTTTCCTGTGTTGTGAAGGATCCATGTGATGTTATCCCATCCTGCATCTAAACACACGTCAGTAAATCCTCAAGGGCACTCACTTCTGAATGACCAGAGAATACTTGCACTACATGCTTTTTCACATACCCCAGAGTATAAAAATGCCTATTCATCAGGCGTACGCTGCCCTACTGCAGCACACACATCACCTGCCAGCATTTATACTCTGCCAGCTTTCATTTGTAGTGACAAGCACAGGGAAAGCATTTCTGTGGTCTGCATAGACATGTTGGTCTTCTGACAATTTTTTTTTCTCTCCTGGTGTCTTAAATCAGTCAGTGAAAGAACCTCAGTAAAGACGATTATAACAATTGACTCTTAGCCTTTGGTCTTATATGGCCCAGAAGGGTTTCACTGAGGGCTAATACCCTATTTCCATTGACACCAGTGGCAAAACTTCAGTTGTCTACTAACTAAGTTATGACTGTGACCATTTTAATTAAATCCTAGTGGGTTTATATGGGTTTAATTGAACCCTACTGGATTTATTATTCATCCCATATGTGATTTAGCGAGAGTTTACCAGACTCTGTGGAGGGTACCAGTGGTGGTGACTCAGGGCTGGGGTTGGGGCATCCATCCAGATGCAGAGCCCATGCAGCAGGCTCATCCCTTGGTTCTGGGCTGACGGGGGTGGATTTCTCCTCACCAGGTCTGCACCTCTCATACCTTGCCCTCAGAAAGTCCAGTTACTCCGATTATGTGAACAAAACAGATGTTTGCCTTTAATGTGGGCATTAGTTAACTCTCTCTGACTACTCTTGAGGAAATAAAAGGGTGTGTTTGTTGTAAGGAAGATGTTAGGTTTCTGGTGAGTAACACAACACAGGCGGGCTTGTTTAGGTCACGTGTCTGCCTCAGCTTCTACTTTTATTTTTCACTGTGTTCTTGACTCAATTCAGAACGGTGGATCTGGTGCCAGCTGATCAATTTAGAAATGTCTGCAATGTGAATTTGCAGAACAACAATCTCACCTCTTTCAGTGGCTTAGTCTTCCTGCCTAACGTCAAGGTGAGTTAGTCACACATTCTGTCCTTTTATTCCCTGTTTTTCTAGCGGTGATCATTATAAACTGTTTTCACTTTTGTAAAGTTCCTAATCTCTCTTATTCCTGCCGATCAGATTTTTTTTTCAAAATAATGACCAGACAGCAATGGAACTTCTGTATTACATTAATTGTGTCATAGCCTAACAATGTGGTTTGCTTTATGCAGGTATTGTGTCTGAACTACAATCACATTGAGTCCATAATGCCCAGACAAAAGTCCCAAAGCCATTTAACAAACAGGCAGCTGCTGTACCAGAAAGTGACCTCTAGTGGCTATGGGCAGCAAGGACTTTCTAAAGGAAGCAGGTAGAGTCACATTTTACAATGACTTCTTATTAGTCCTTTCTTCTGTTGCTGAAAAAGGAGAACCCAAGGGGTCTGGAAAACTCTCTCCTCCCCACCTTGCTTGGGCTGTGTTCTGATTAGGGCAGGGCCTTCTGCACCCCTCCACTCTCACCCCTGACATGTGGGAGCATGCAGATCCTTTGTGGGGCAGCTGGTTGATTCATTTCCTCCATCCTGAGTTTTTGAGGTGGTGGGACCACTAACAGTGCGGCGTGGTGCTTCCCTCCTGCTGTCTTCAGGAGAGAGAAGTGTGTCATTCTCAGTCAGTAACAGCAGTGGCTGCTCAGGCTTCTATCACTAGCTCTATGGTCTGACGCAGCTTGGTAAACTGAGGCACTGAGAGCCTGAGTGATGGTTGTACAGAACGGTTTTGGCAGAGGAAAAGCTCTTTGCTGTAACCCCACTACTGCCTCTCAACACCTTCTAAACTTTTGGAAAACAAGTTAGGTGTCTTCTCTGCTCCCATTCTCCTTGTATAGCACGGCATAACTGCCTGTCAGTGGCTCTCGATGGTTTTTAGGCTCAAGGCACCCCTTGTCAGACCCAAGGCACTGCTTGGAAAATGCCAGTTCTTAGTTTACACTCATTTTTTCACTATGGAAAACTAACACAGCAATTTTTCTGATGCAAAGAACTCAGAGAGACCACAGCAGGTCAGAATATTTTTTAACACTATGGATCCTTATTTTAAATCTTTTGGTTTATCTTGTGAAGCATGTTTGCACCCCTAACTGCTAACCTGCAGCACCCCTGAAAGGATCCCAAGGCATCCTGGTGTGTCATAGCACCCTGGTTGAGAATCACTGGTCTAAGTATAGTGTGGAACGTTCCTGCCTGCCTCTGAAGCATCTGGTATTGATTGATTGCGGGGAGCTCCTTAACTCAGTCCCTCTGCCTGGTACGAGATGTCATGTTTGTCAATCAACAGTTAAGCTCATTCTGTATTTGAAATCTGTAACAAAAACTGTATACAGTGACATGACAGTATTGAAAGGTCATACTGACCCCTTGGAGCAGGGGTGGGCAAAATGTGACCCGCAGGCTGGATGCAGCCCACCAGGCCATTCTATCCAGCCCACGGGGCCCCTAAAAAATTGAGAAAGTTAATATTTATCTGCCCCTGGCTGCCTGTCATGTGGCCCTCGATGGCTTGCCAAAGCTCAGTAAGCGGCCCTCCGCCCAAAATAATTGCCTGCCCCGGCCTTAGAGCCTGGTGTGTGATAACTCAGCTTGCCTTATGCATGTAAGTATCCTGCTAGCAGTCACAATCAGTTAGTAGAATCAGCGAGCGTCATGCCTTAGTGACTCATTCATGCTGCAGTGAGTTTTTATAAAGGTATTTACATCCTCATCCACATTTCCTCCCTGATCCTTCATTTAGTCCTGGCAGCCATTTATCCTGCCAATAACCCTCTTCTCCTGTGCCCATCTCGCAGATATGCCTCTGTTTCTCACACTCTGGAACAGACATCCACAAAGCTTTTTTACATTCTTTTGACATCGACACTGTCACAACCCAAAGGGTGTGATTTTTGTTTGTGTGCGCTTTGGCACTGCTAAATTGTCCCCGCTAAATTGTAGCTTCCTTGCACGGTGGAGTTTTCTGCTGCAAAAGAGAACCCCGGTGCAAGGAACGAGTTTCCCGCCAATTTGAAGCTTTCTTTGCAGGGTGCATTTCTTTGTTGCAGCACAGAAATGCTCGTTGCAAAGAGTTCCCGCCATCTGTATGCTAATTAGAGTCCCATTATTGGCCAGTTCTAAATTATTCACACGTGGCGGCTAGTGATTGGCTTGCTAGCCGTATAAGAGGCTTGAGTGGTTTCTGCCCAAGTTGGAGGACTTCACGAACAAGGGAGGAGGAGACTTCACGCTGTGTGAAGATCTCTAAGCGCTGCGGATCCTTACGGACCCAGCGCATTTCAAGCAGGCAACAGAGGTCTGACCAGCCTCTAGCCTCTCCCCGTCGCCGATAGATTCCTAGACGTATCCCTTCCTGTGCACAAAAGAACCGGACCCACGGAGCCTAGCAAATTTCGTGTGAGTTTATTCGGAGCTCTTCCAGACGAGTACTTTCTTCGGCTGACACGACGGGTTCGCGTGTTCAGAGCCTTCAGCCGGATTGGGCTAGAGTTCACGAGTTTAGAACTCTTGTCCGCCTCTCTTCTTTCCTGTCTAACCGCAACTCAAGCAAGTTTTCCAGCCTACACCACTGCCATCTCGGTGTAAGTAAACAATCTTTTAAACTACTGCTACGCGTCCGTGCCTAATTCCAGCTCGAAGGCCTTCCCTCTCCGCCCCGGCGTGCCCGGGCTGCTAGCCACAGCCCGCGTGCAGCGCGAAAAGGGCTCGGGTCGCTCCCGGCCCGCACAGACACATTAGGTCAGCTTATGTCCTGAAGAACATTTTCAAATCAGCTTTCAGTTTACAGTCCTTATTTTTGCATTCTAAGAGGATTGAAACTTCAGGCACATGTCAAGGCTCATTCAGTCAGTGCTTTACTGCTCTGACAACGACCACAGCTGGTTTCACAACAGTCCTATCAGACAGGCCGTGGGGAGTTGCTACACAGGGTTCCCTCCCCACTTTTTAGTGAATGTTATTACAGTTCCAGAACATCGCAGAGAGATGTAAGATGTAGCTGCATACACGTGTACTTCTCAGCCAGATATTCAGCTCTTCCTTACTTCATTCGTTGGTGTGTGTTTGGCATCTGCCTGGGTGTATTTCTTGTCCCAGATTTTTCCCTTTTGTTTTGGAGCGTGTGATTATGTGTCTAAATTTGTTTTGATCCTTTAGGGGGAAAGGCACTAGCAGAAGTACACGTGGAGCTGATTCAGCTCTCCTGTATGTCAGACAATGAATCTGTTTTCATTTCCATTAGGTTAGGATGCTCATGAGATACTACTGCTCTTCCCTGGTCTTGTGGGCTCATACAGGGGCTCTGATGGAGACAGCAGGAGTGTTCCTCTTGCTGACAGCTGAGTGTCTGCCCACTAATGCATGGCTGGCACTTTTTTAGATGATAAATCTCATTTCCAAGGGGTGCGCTGCCATTTGCCTGTAGGGACATTTGCCTTCCCAGTGAGGTAATTCAGAGGATCCACACAAAAGCCTCACACTGCTAAAGCTGCCTGCTCTTCCTATCCGGAGGCCACAGCATCACTCTGGGTTGTGCAGTGGGTTCCATTAGCCCCAATCTCCGTTTCCCCGTCCACACAGAGCCTGGTTGTGTGGGCAGGGAAAGTTTGAAGTGTGAGACATTTCTGACTTTTTTCTTTAGTGATTACAGAGCCCTCTGCATTGGGAGCTATAGCTTCTGTGCTCACATATGACATTCATTGAATCACCTCTTTACTGTTGATTTATTTGGATTTTATAATGTCACCAACTTCTTAAACAGGAAAATGAGGAATAAAAAATGATTTGCGATGAAATATATATTGCAGTTAACTGTTATTCAAGGGTTTTTAATTAAATTATGAGGAAATAGCTATTGCTTTGGCATAAACATTGGGCCGGATTTTCCCTGATGTAACTCCTTTGTCTTCTCGAGTTACATCAGAAGTGAACTTGGCTTATGAACTAATTATCCCAGCCCTCCTGTGAAGTAGATTAGTATTTTCTTTACTGTACTGATGAGACAGAACTGTTATGGCCAACATTTTCCAGAGAGGCTGCTGTATTTAGAGGGTCTCATCTTTGTTTGAGTTCCATTTAAGACTCTTGTCACTCACCTAAATCTGGGATAGGCAAAGACTGCAACATGCAACATCAGGGGCTACTTTTGAAGTGTTCAGCCCAAGTGACTTGAATTTATGGGTTAGGATCAATACTGCAGAGTGCTTAGTGACTCCCTGGCCATGTCCAGATGAGCACGGCCATGCTGTATGTGGTGCCACAAACACATTTGCAGCGCCAGATACTTTACATTTAGATGTTCTCCGTGGTGCAAGGGAGCGCTGCCCATGTGTATGCTGCTCCACCATTTTT